AGCGCTGCCGGCTGCCAGCCTCCTTCAGCCTCCAGGGAAGTGACAGTTGCAACCCACTGTGGCAGAAGCAGGGGGAGATCCCTTGGGTAGAGAACGCTGCCTCTCTGTTATGGGCCACAGAGAGCCCTTCCTGTGCCCTGGCGGGTGAGGGGGGGGGGAGAGATGCAGGCCAAAGCTCACCCATTTTCTTAGGCAGCAGGTAGACATCTTGCTTGTAGCGTCCTTCCGGGGCATTGTAGAGTTCTATCAAGGCCAGAGCCTGAAAACAGGAAAAGCAAAGTGTGCTGCTTACAGACCACCCCGTAGCACCTCAAGCGCTCTCGAAAAGCCAGTTTGGCTAGCCGCACTGCATCTGAATGCACATCCAAGGCCACCCATCTATGGCATCTGCTGGAATATTTATCTAGTAGCAAAGGGTCCATTTAATAGAAACAGAACAAGAAGGGACTGGAAGATCGTCCCGCAAAGCATTTTATCCCAAATAAGGATTCTTCACCGTATAGTAGCACCTCAAGCGCTCTGAAAAAGCCAGTTTGGCTAGCCGCACTGCATCTGAATGCACATCCAAGTCCACCCATCTATGGCATCTGCTGGAATATTTATCTAGTAGCAAAGGGTCCATTTAATAGAAACAGAACAAGAAGGGACTGGAAGATCGTCCCGCAAAGCATTTTATCCCAAATAAGGATTCTTCACCGTATACTGCTCTGAGACAAAATATTGCTTACATGTGAAATAGATGTAAAAGCAGAACATGTTCTGAGCAGCTGATTGTAAAAGAGGGTTAACAGTTAAGAGTGAAATTATAGCTCAAAGGTTCTGCCACTGAAACCTGTTATTTTGTTTACTGGTGGGAACCGTTACTAGAAATTGTTATACAATCCTTCGAAGACTGACGCTGAGAGCAGCAGGGTAAATAAGCCGCAAACACCTAATTCTTCAAAGTGTTCTCCCTCTGTGTTCTTCCCATGCTTTCTAAAAGGACCAGGTGCGATGGAGACCAGGTACCAATGGAGAATATCTCTGCTAGCATCTCAAAGCAAGACATTCAAGCTGCAGAAGGAGATCAGCAGCAACCCCATATCAGAAGCCGTTCTCACCGGGGTGGAGGGAGCCCCTGGACAATTCGAGAGAGTGCGGTCAGCTCAGCTAAACACATAGCACGGAAAAAGAAAGCTGGAGACTTTGTAAGGGGCAGGGATTTCAAAACAATAGGGGTGTGAAGGAGACGTGTTCTCCAGAGGGGGGACCACCCCTAAGAAACGACCATGTAAAGGACCAGCCTTTTAGTAACGATCCTGAACCCCTACGAATGCGCACTTTGTTTTCTGCTGCTAAATGTGCCAGGGAACATCAGCAGGGGGTTGTATTCTGTCCACCTCGGCTAACAGATGACAAAGCTCGGGGAAGGCTGTTAAGTAGCTGCCTCCTGCAGTGCTCTTCATTATCTGAATATAGCTTGCACTCCACTCTAAGGGGCCTTTTCTCCTTTTCTCTGGCTCACGATCAGCACCGAAACATTCAGGAGGGGTAAAGCAGGAGGGACGCTGGGAGGATTTCCCTCCCGGCCCGCAGAACAGCAGAGGACAGATGCAAAGTAAGGAAATGCTAAGTGAGGCACAAAGTGATCAAGACTTCCCAGCTGCATGTGCAAAGTGAGGAGGTCTAAGCTGGTTGCAACCACCCAAGAAACTAATCCTGGAATCACACTGAAAAGTGCATTGGAAAGGATCGTAGGCCAGGGGCTGGAGAGTGACCAAGGCAAATCCTGTTGTGAAAGCGACCGGGAATACAAGAGGACGCATCGCAAGGCCTTCGGGCAGCCATACAGGCAGAACCCAACTTGGAAGGTTAACGAAAATTCTGGTTTTCAAATATTAAGAAGAAAAATATAGAGTTGAAGACAAAGCAAGCAAGAAAGGGTGGGGCATCTTCCAGATGAATAAAGCTGGATGTGTTGAAAGCCTGTAGGTTAGAACTTGGGAGATGATGGAGGAAGGGGGAGAAGGCGGCAACCGAGGTGGACGAAGACATGCCAAGTATGAACAGAAGTGCTAGAAACTGGGAGTCACCCAATCAGAGTTCTTTGCAATAGATTTAAGGCAAAGAAAACAAAACTCGGATGGCGTGCAAAGCTCTATTCAGTGGCCCGAGGACTGCACAGGCTGCAAAAAATAAAAAGTCAGCCGCTACTTAAAGATTTCAGATGGCGTTCCTCTAAATACCAGCACTTGAGGAGGACCCAGCTTTTAAGCTTTCCTGCAATTTGGCTTCAGGATCTCCTGACACCTCAAGGCAGGCATCTACAAGAAGCCCATGTGACCTACAAGAAGGGGAGGGGGCGCACAAGCCAAGAAACTGCGGGCGCTGCTTTTCTGGATGTCCTGGCTAAAGTGAGAAGCAAGAGGGAAGGAAGGAAGGGGGGGAGGAGCTCATAATGTATGTATGTATGTATGTATGTATGTATGTATGTATGTATGTATGTATGTATGTATGTATGTATGTATGTATGGATGTATGGATGGATGGATGGATGGATGGATGGACGGATGGACGGATGGACGGATGGAAAGTATCAAATAAAATGTAAGAAATACACAATGAACAAGAACATAAGGAACACCGTAAAACATCATAAAATAAAATGAAGATAACATAGAACAAAGATAAATACAAAAATAAAAAGATGGCGGTAGGCTGGATATTTTAAGTATTAAGGTACTATCGTATCATGCTGTTGTAAGATCCGAGAAGGCCTGTCTGAATAAATCAAAGGTCTTCTGTTTGACCCAAGAAGGCAAGTTCCTTCTCATTTCGGGGACGCCCCGCTCCGAACGTCACTCACCTGCGTGGTGGCTGTGATGGACAGCACAAAGGTTGGGACGGTGGAGCAGCTCAGGTTCAGCAGCCGCCCCTGGAAGAGAAGCAGGCATCTGGGGTTCAGCGAGGGGGTCTCTCCCTGGGACTTGCATCAGGGCCCCAGCAACTGACACCCCCCCGCCCAACATCAACAAGCTAGTACAACGGACAGAAGCAGCAGCAGGAGAAGAAGCAAACTTCGGAAGGAAGTGGGTTAATCCAGCGCCACTTTCGATTCTATCAGGTTGCAAACTCCTGGGCGTTTCCATTGCACAATGAACCATGACCAGCTGACAGCCTGCAGAGAGTTGTCTTTCCACCGAAAGAAGAACCGTGACCTGCTAAACCAGGTAGATAAGCTGCTGGAAAACATCTCTTCCCCCCTCCCCACCCCCCACAGCTCCAAAACGTCTCCGTTACCTCTGCCAGAAGCACTATCCTCTTCCCATCTGGCCAAATGACATGGTCTACCTGAGACCTCACCCTCTCCCACGTCAGTTCCGGCGTCCGCAAACTGGCCTGAAAAGACACCATCGGGGGACTTTAAAGCAGAGCCGGTGAGAGGTCCGGTTTGGCACATTTTAAGCACGAACCAGCTTTTTTGCAGAGCGAATGAGATCGAAGGGCCAAGATCTCATGGGGTCAACGTGACGGCACGTGGGCTGCAGCAGGAATACGGTGCCGTTTGCCTCACTTGCCCATGGTAGCCTCCGGTGCTGCCCTCTGCAAGGGTCAGCAGAGTCCACTTCTTCATGGGAAGCCCTGGGGTGACAACAACAACACTACTGCAAGACGCCCACGTTACTCCACAGGCAGGGCTTTCCATGAGCAGCGTCTCAGAAGCATCCTCAGCAAGGTCTCTAAGAGGGACAAGACCAGGACTGCGGGACTCGGACTTCCCTGAGGTCAGCAACCAGCAGATGCGCTGGGACTGTAAGCCCCTCCATTCCCAGTGAGCATGGCCAATGGCTATGCGGTCCAGGAGTGATGGGAACTGTGGCCAACAATACTTTGAGGAGGATCAGGTTGGAGAAAGATGGTGAAGCCCACTCTACCCATTGTGTAGCCCACCCGATGCCTCTGGGCATCTTAACAAAGCCGGGCACAAAGGAAGCTGAGCACTCTTCCCTGTTGGCGCTTCCCCCTGCAGTGAATTATTATAGGCAATAACACAACAGATCTCTCGTCCCACATGACCGTGTCTCACTAACCCTGCCCCGTCCCAGCCATCGAAGACAGAGAACTGACTTCTGCCTTACAGCAATGCATTCAAGGAAGCAATTCCAGGCAAAGAACGCCCACACAAACTGTCTTCTCATCCATCACATCTCTAACGGAAGCCCCCAACTGCTTAAATGTAATCCCAGTCGACTCTACAGTCGTTCAGAGGAATATACGGAGCAGGATAAACCTTAAGATTCTCAGGTCTCTGGGCGAGGACAGAACGGAAATGTCACCAACAAAGAAGACAGTTATTCTTTTCCACAGTAAATCCATCCCAGAAACTGGCCTGTTTAGAAAAGGACAAGATCCACCGGGAGGAAAACCATCCCGGCACCCCTTCTTGGGAACAAAAGGCAAGTCATGTGTTATCTTGGCTATTACGAGGACGAAGGTCTGTCCTATGCGGGCACCTGCACCACCTGGTGCTGTGAACAGGCACAAAAAGAGCGCCTAGCTGGGACCCACTTCCATCTTCACGTTCTTCACCATTTCGACGCCCCAGATGACAAGGAAATGTTCTGCTCAGAAGTCGGCTCTCCAAGCAAGCCGGGGTCCTGGAAAATAGGGGTCATCCAAGCTCACATGTACAGCTGAGACATATGAGCAGGGCCATTCTCCTCCTCAGACCTGTTGCTGAACCTGTGAAGAACGTGACTGGGGCAGGAGCAAGACGGGGCGCTGCCCCTCTAAGAGTGCCCACCGCCTCTGGTGGCATCACACGGCTCCACAGGGCTTTACACGTCGAGGCGTCAATGGAACGCTTTACTTCCGAAGGAACGGGAGCGCAGTCCTGAAATGCCTGGAACCCACCCGTGCTCCCCATAAGATACTGCACTGGAAGTTACAGGGGGCCATCCGTATATCCCTTCCACCCGATACTGGTGGGAAGAAAAGGAAGGTCGGCTTCTTACCACGTCGATTTCAGTGTTGGAATGTCCCATGTTACACACAATGCAGCTGTTCTTCATTCTGTCAAGGTGTTCCCTAGTCACAACATTTTTGTTGCCTACAAAGCGAACACAGTGTGAGGGTGCAATCATAGGACTGAACCACATCCCCTTTGGAGGAGCAAGAGGAGATGCCCACCCGAACGGGGGAGTTGCCCTTCCTCAAGCTCAGCTTGCAGCAGAAAGCGGGTGAACCACATCCGCCAGCCCAGGCCTCCAAACCGGCGATGGATCTCCCACCCCGTGCCACATCTGCAGGCAATTCCCAATGCAGGGCAACCGACATACCTGTACAGGTGATAACGATGTCCACCTGCCGGATCACTTCATTGAGTTTCACAAGGCGGAAGCCATCCATGCTGTGGGAGACAAGCAGACAGATCCCTGATCCATCATCTCAGAAGCACAGTGCCGGCTATGTTTCAGAGTCAGACCTCACAGAGCCAAGGTCTGCCTCAGCTTGTGTCTAACTCTACTTCCTGTTACTAGGGAGGTGCCCGGCCCCTGTTCACTGAACCAATCTATGCCTGCATCAGGGCACAAGGACTGGTGTGCAATCCCACCTTGCACCTTTTTTTTGCAGACATTCTCATTGATACCCCATATCCTTGCTCCATCTGCAGGTCACCCCAGAAACACCTTGCACCTTTTTTTTTTGCAGACATTCTGACATGTGTGCCTGTCAGATTTAACACCCGTTACCTGTCAGGGGTGCCGCTCCACCTCACTGATACCTCTACATTCCTTGCTCCATCTGCAGGTCACCCCAGAAACATACTAACACCCTGGGGTTTGGTTTCTAGTTGCACATTTGCTTGAAGACTGGGTACATCCCATCCTTCTAGAGTTCACCAACTCCTCAGCCAGCTGAAAACTCCAGGCCAGATACACGGACCCGACACAGAACAGCAGGAAGTGGCCGTCCCTTCCCCTGTCTCCTGTCCTCCATGGCCAAATGGTCATTCGGCGGTCATTCTCAGCTGAATGATGCCGAGCCCTTGGCCAAAGCAGGGAAGGCCAACACATTGCCCTGGATGACTCCCAGAAACCCACCCACCTAACCCCGGCCAGTATGGGCGTCTCGTGGGAGGCCACTTCTCCAAGGCTCAGGAGGGACACACGGGCTGGGCTTCAGCCGCACAGCGGGAGTCAACATCCCGGCCAGCCAGACCCACCCCATCCAGGGCGGACGAGATCGCCTTTTATGCCTTAACCTTCTCACCAGGCTTGCAGGGCACAGATGGGGTCGATCTCGGTCACGTAGACAATGGAGCCCATGGCCCTCAGGGCAGCGCAGCAGCCCTTCCCGACCTGCAACGGGAGAGCAGGAGGTCAAGGAAGGAAAGTGCCAAGGAGGACTCAGGAGCCAAAAGAAGAGGAAGAAGGAGAAGAAGAAGCAGGCCAGGCAAACTAGAGCAAACCCAGGAGAAGGCAAGTGTGGCTGCAAGCATGCTGCCCCCCCCCCAAAAAAATAGGCAAGCAAGACGTTTTCTTGCAGAAAAAAGTAACTACAATGCCATTCGAGGGACAAGACAATCTCTTGCACGAACACCTGGATGAGTCTGCCTAAGCAGTTGCCCTTCGGCATCCAAAGGTATGTCGGGGAGAAGCGGCGGCATTCCTCGAATGGAAAAGGCAGGAAATCTGTTGCCGCCGGGCACTGAAACTGCAACCGAGGGTAATGCTTAGGACCTTACCTCTCCATATCCGCAAGCGACCACTTGCTTCCCTCCAAACATCATATCCGTCGTCCTTTTAAGGCTGAAAAGAGATGGGGGGGGGAACAAGACAAGACGAATTATAGAACCTAATCTTTCAACCGTTTTGTACACAAGGAATGCCATGCCAGAGGGAGGTTTGCAAGAGATCTGGAATTCTGAATATCCTGTGTGAACAACCTCCCTTTGCCACGAAGGCTGAGTGAGCGAGCGCTGGCTGAGCGATCGTCCGTGGCAAGCACATGGCGGCTGTGGGCCTTGCCACAGGGACTTAAAGGTAATTTTTGTCCAGTCGTGTTCAACTCTAGGGGCCGGTGCTCATCCCCGTTTCCAAGCCATAGAGCCAGCGTTTGTCCGAATACAATCTTCCGTGGTCGCTTGGCCAGTGCGACTTAGACACGGAATGCTGTTACCTTCCCACCGAGGTGGTCCTTATTTATCTACTTGCATTTGCATGCTTTCAAACCGCTAGGTTGGCGGGAGCTGGGACAAGCGATGGGAGCTCACTGTGTCGCGTGGATTCGATCTTACGACTGCTGGTCTTCTGACCCTGCAGCACAGAGGCTTCTGCAGTTTAGCCCAGAGCACCACCACGTCCCCACCACAGGGACTTAGAATGTGACAAAAGCCTTTCCTGGAAAGGCTCGCCATGGCTGGGGATTACGCGATCCACGCACAGGAGGTGCCTGCTCTGGGAACTCCGTGCACATGTTTGCGATAATCACATATGCACAACGGTTGCACATTCTCCACACCTGGCACGTCTCTGCACTTTCTGACTTGGAAGGCCCTGCTGCGTCCAAGGAAAGCAGCCCTTTTAGAATTTGGAAGGAAAGAGAGAGAGAGGGAGGGAGGAAAGAGGAGCTGAGAGATGTCCAAGATTGAGGAGCAGTCTGGGATTGGAAGGAAGAAGAGTCAGGCTTCATACGAGCCAAAGAGGGAACCCCAACCTGCCTCTGGATGGACAAAGGTCCGGGCAACTGCAAAACCATTTGATAGGAAGCATGCTCCAACAGCAACCAATATCTACTGTATCTCAAGGTTTCCTCTCATCTTATGATGTTCATGTGTCTCCTCTCCTCTCCTCTCTCTCTCTCTCTAATGTGTCTTCTCTCCTCTCTCTGTGTGTGTGCATTGGTCTCTCTTGCCTTTAAGTCTGTTCGTTCTTTGTCTCTGTGTGTTCCGTTCAGTCTCTTTATGACAACACCCTTTTTAGCCCCCGAGCATCAGCCTTGGCTGTGCTGGGAAATTCTTTTCCATGTGGTCTGCGGAGATAGCCATAGAAGGAACAGATGTGGCAAGAGGGGTTTCCCAATGAAGCAGGCTGAGCCGAGCCCAGCCCAGCACCCTGCCTCCTGGAGCATTCTCTGTGCCCGCTATCTTTGCAACTGTGCCCTACATTGTAGTCTATTTTTAGCCGACAAGTAAAATAGGTTAGCAGTGGGGAGAGAGTGTGCGCACGACTCCCAATTTCCACGGCATTTCGATGGCATTCCCAAGGGAAGGAATGCAATTCTGCTCCAGTTTCTTGTGGCCCACTTTAGGAGAGCCAGGCAAAATTTCTCCAGGTGGCTTAGCCTCCACGAAATGTTTAACCATTTCCACCCCACACAAAGCCAAACATAAAAAAGCAGATGGGAATCCCTTCGTTGATACCCTTTCATCAGAATGCCCTTTCGGCATCTGAACCTATTAGCATCCACGGGAGGAAGAATTACAAGAGGGCTGTTTTTATTAGCCGTTTTGAAAACCCATCAAATGACAGTTAAGAAAGGCAGCTTCTACTCTTTGGGGGCAAGCCTGCTCACGATGGGCTAATTCTCTCAGAGATCACCGACATGTCTCTGGGCGGTAACCTCTCTGGCCATGGGTAGGAGAAAACTTAAAAAGAACGCTCCTCTGTAAGAAACCATTCTTTGCACAAGGAAAGCTGGTGTTCACACGAGCGTCCAGGAGTGGCTACCGACAACCATCACATCACAGAAGCTCCCACTTACAGTTCGGAAGTACGACACTCCAGACTGAGCTCAGATACCCTCAGCGAGAGCTAAGCCTGCAACCACAGAGACACAGATGTACTGGGAAGCCGGGACTGTCTACAATGCCTTAGACGTGCAGCATTTTCTCAAAGACGGATATAATGACTCTAAGCCACCTCTGTTGAAGATACTATGGAGCACTTCCAAGACTACCTACAAGGCCGAAGATCAAAAAGCAGTCACTCTGCAAACACGTTGAATATAATGCAAGAATAACTGGAAGCCGACATGAATTTGTCAAGACCAAATCCTGCCAGGCTGATCTGATCTCTCTCTCTCTCTCTCTTTTTGATCGGTTAACCTCCCTGATAGATGGTGGGAATGCTGTAAAAATAGTGTATCTTTTGACAAAGTGTCCCATGATATCCTGATTAGCAAGCTAATTAAGTGTGGGCTGGATAGAACAATGGTCAGGCGGATGCATAGTTGGTTACAGAATAATACTCAAAGGGTGATGATGAATGCCTCCTTCTCCAACTGGGAGGGGGTAACAAGTGGGGTACCCCAAGGCTCAGTCCCTCAGAGCCCACTGCTCTTCAACATTTTTATTAATGACTTGAATGAATGCTTATCAAATTTGCAGATTACACAAAATTGGGCGGAATATCTCATACTTTAGAAGACAGGAACAAAATTCAAAAAGATCTTGATAGGCTTGAGTACTGGGTTGAAAACAACACAATAGAATTTAACAGGGATAAGTGCCAAGTTCTACACCTAGAGAGGGAAACAAATGGCTCAGTAACAGAACACATGAGAAAGACCTTGGAATTATTCTAGATCACAAGCTAAATGTTAGCTAACAGAGCAATGTGGTTGCAAAAAAAAAAGGCCAATGCTATTTTAGGCTGCATTAACAGTCTGACAAATCCCTTGAGGGACTAGTTCCCCTGTACTTGACACTGGCTAAGTCTCGTCTATAGTGCTGTATCCAGTTCTGGACATGGCACTTCAAAAAGGATGCTAACAAATTGGAACAAGTTCAGAGGAGGGCAACGAGGAGGATCAGTGGAATGGAAACCAAGCCACAGGAGGAAAGACAGAAAGAATTGGACTTGAGAAAAGAAGACAGAGGGGTGATGCGATAGCACTTTTCAACTATTTAAAAGGCTGTCATGCAGAGGAGGGGCAGGACCTGTTCTCGATCATCCCAGAGTGCAGGACACGCAACAATGGACTCAAGTTAAAGGAAGCCAGATTTTGGCTTAATATCAGGAAAAACTTCCTAACTGTTAAGAGCAGTATAAAAACTGGTACAGCGGTGTGACCTCAGGAGGTGGTGAGCATTCCAGTGCTTGAGGCAGTCAAGAGAAAATTAGACAACCCTCTACCAGATATACTTTCATTTAGATTCCTGAGTTGAGCAGGGGGTTGGATCTGATGGCCTTAGAGGCCCCTTCCAACTCCATGATGGCCTTAGACTCTATTGACATCTGATTAAATTCACAGCTCGGACAGAAGAGATCAGACAGTTGAGGAAAGGGAAAGGAGCAAGCAAGCAAAATGGTTCAAAAGGGTAGGACGTATTGGCTGTGAGAAAAGTTTACAATGTCCAGAGCTGATAACGTCAGGTGAAAAGCTGTCAACCAGGATGGGGTGTGACACAGCAGAAGTATACAGTGTTGAGCCCCTTCCAGTGAAAGCTCTTCTTCTCTCTGTTTCCTCATGGGACAGCCACGTGGATCCCTTCACTGAAGAGGAATGAAAGAAATTTGGGACAGACAGAATAAAGGACTTATTTGCACAATTTACAGTTAACCTGCAGATACACGGTGTCGCAATGCTGCTACCTGAAAGGCAGAGGAGATCGATTATGTAGTATAGTATTTTAAACTTATTATTGTTGTACCATTTTAATTGTTGTGAGCCACCTTGGGCCCCCTGATGGGGAGAAAGGCGGCATGTTCGTTAATTAAGGGCTAAACTCCCAATGCTAGTAGCCAGGGTGGCTGTTCATCATCTCCAGCTTGAGAATGCAGGTGCCTCTGGATATCAGGCGCTAGAGAGCACGAAACAGAAGGCGCCGTTGTCGTCTGCCCTCTCCCTGAGCTTCCCGCTAGGTTTCCACAGTTTGTGGAAAGCTTGGGATAGCCAGACGGGACAGACCTTAGATTTGGTCCGGAAGGACTTTTTAAAAAAATATTCTTACACAGGAGTCCACAGAACAGCCAGGCATCTGGACTCAAGCTGGCCCAACCCAGCGTGTCATGATTTGGTGGGTTCGGACAACCTGTTCCGTGACTCCCTGTGAGAGCTTTCCTGCTACTCCCTTAGAGGGCCAGGAGATAGAGAGGCAGCCTTGGACAACAACACCAAGCAGAAGGCAAAAGAGAATCAGACGACCTTCCTGTCGTGGTGGCGCTGCGGGTTAGACCACAGAAGCCTCTGTGCTGCAAGGTCAGAAGACCAAGCAGTTGTAAGATTTAATCCATGCAATGGAGGGAGCTCCCGTCGCTTGTCCCAGCTCCTGCCAACCTAGCCGGTCAAAAGTGTGTAAAAATGCGAGTAAATAAATAGGGACCACCAAAGTGGGAAGGTCACAGCGTTCCGTGTCTAGTCGCGCTGGCCACGTGACCATGGAAACGGTCTTCGGACAAAACGCTGGTTCTACAGCTTGGAGACGGGGATGAGCAACGCCCCCTAGAGTCGGACACGACTGGTCTAAATATCAAGGGGAACCTTTACCTTTACTGAAGCACGACAAAAGGCCAATGAGGTCGTGTATGGCTACCTGAAAGGGATGGAGTGGGGAAGCATTTGTAATCTCTCTGGTTGTAATCATGGGCCAGTCCTTTCAAATCCCTGGCTTCACTGAGTGGCAGAAGCAGACACTGCCTCAGCTGCACAGGCCCTCGAATCCCCTCACCACTTGCGGAGGGTAAAATGTTAGGACGCCCCCATTCTCCTCTTTCGAAAGGGTCAAGGAACAGGACAGGTTGGTGAGACTTCCCTGTGTGTGTGGCCTGTCGTTCCTTGTCGTTCTCTCACATGGAGAGAGCATGGCTTTGAATGTGCTGCGGTCTGGCCTGTTTTTTGTTTACGCCTGTGCTCGAAGGAAATTAGGAACAAAAAGAAGCAAAGTGGAGAAAAAAACAAGCAAAAGAAACACACCACTCCAAGGCAAGGGTCCGAGTTTGTGGGGAACACATCCAAAGAAAGCTATTCTGTTATGGGACATACAGCTGTTTTTTCCCCCTCTCCACAAATCTTTTATCCTAAGAGATTTTAAGAGAGCGGAAGAGCACACCCGTCGCTCTAGATGGCTGCTCGCAGTTACGATGGTATCTAAAGCGTTCACTAGACCAAACTCTGCTCTCCAGAAGCAACAACGATTACACTGAGCTCTATTGTAATGTGGGCATTTCATTTCAGGTCTGTGCTGCCTCTTCCCCAGTAAACAGACCCATAGTGTTCTGACAAGACAGTAATCGCTGGAAAAAACAACAGTGTTTGGGAAAACTGAATGTAACCAGAAAAAAAAGACCAAATATGAGGTGGACTGACTCTGTAAAGGAACCCTTGGCCTTGAGTTTGTTTAGTCGTTAATGGTACAACTTTCAGGTCGTTATTTTATTTATTGTCCTTTGCTGTCATGCGGGGAAACTACAAACCTAGACAGCATCTTAAAAAGCAGAGATATCACCTTGCCGACAAAGGTCCAAATAGTCAAAGCTATGGTTTTTCCAGTCGTGATGTATGGAAGTGAGAGCCAGACCATAAATAAGGCTGACCGCCGAAGAATGGATGCTTTTGAATTGTGGTGCTGGAGGAGACTCTTGAGAGTCCCCTGGACTGCAAGGAGAACAAACCCATCCATTCTGAAGGAAATCAACCCTGAGTGCTCACTGGAAGGACAGATCCTGACTCCTCACAACTGTCCACTAATGCACAGGGTTGTTGCATATCAGAACCAATGGTATATAGCACATAACAAGAGCAGCAGCAACCACTTGGAAACCTGCCCCTCCCCACTTTTTTTTGCTCAGCATTTTCATGCCAGCGGCAAGATACGAACCCATCTAGAATGGATTCTCGGCAGCAGTAGAGGTTGTCGAATTTCTGTTTGGTGACGGAGTCGTTGACATTCATAGCCGGGACACACAGCTTGCCTGCCTTTGACAGCTGGTACAACCTGTGGAAAGAGAGAGAGAAAAAAAAACCCTCAACAGAAAGACAGCCAGAAGCTTTCCTCCAGTCTTCTGTGCTGGGGCATCGTCAGTTGCCTGGTGCACTTGATGCTGAAGAACTGTGATAAAGGTGAAGGATCCAAGTTCAAATATGTATCCTGGCTAATCTTCAGATTAATTTGCTTTTCCTTCGGGACAGAACTAACATCATTCAGATGAATCGTCTTATGTCCCTTAAAAGGTCTTTCTTTAAGGATCGGCGCACGATAGCTCGTTACTTATCCTGGCATTAAGCACAGCAGTCTAATTTGGAGCAGCTATTGCTGCTACTTTGCAAATCATCGGTTACATTTAATTGGGTAAACTTGATTCACAAAAGAGAAGAGACATTGTCACTTGCTAACAAGCAGCCCTTTGCCATAGCTATTTAAGACACTGCACTTACACCAGTGTAAACAAACCAACAGAATTCCAGCTGATGTTCCTTACATACCTTTTTAAGAATGGCACCACTTTGGAAAGTTCTAGTTTAATTACAATTAGTTAAAATTATGGGCTGAAAGCCAGTAGTGAGTTGCAACTAGAGAAGGCCCCCTGAATGGACAGAGCTTACACAGGTGTTGCTAAGTCCCCAAAGACTTAATGGGTCTATTCCAGTTGCAGCTTACTACTGGGTTTCAGCCACTATTGGCCTCAGAGAACATACACTGCAGCCGGATTGCTATCGGCAATAAATAAACCCTAAGAAGTACGCCAACAAACTGGAGCGAATTCAGAGGAGGGCAAGAAAAGGATGGTAAGAAATCAAGCCCTAGGAAGAATGACTGAAAGAACCGGCCATGTTTAGCTTTGAGAAAAGAAGATTGATAGGATTTTTAAATGGCAGAACTGTAGTCGTAGAGAGGAGGGGGCAGGATCTGTTCTCGGTCATCCGAGAGTGCGGGACATAAATTTCTCAATTGTTAGAGCAGTATGACAATGGAACCAATGACCGTGGTGAGCACTCCAACACTGGAAGCCTTCAAGAGAAAACGAGACAACCATTTTGTCAGATCTGTTTTGACCTGGATTCCTGCACTGAGCAAAGGGTTGGACTCTATGGCCTTCTCAGCCTCCTCCAACTCAATTGATTCTATGATCCTAGGAATAACTAACCTTTTAAAGATCCTCCACATTTTCCCTTCCCAGCCAGGAAACTTAAGGGCACACAGCTACAAAAGGTAAGTGGAAAGAAGCTAAAGGACACCATGTCTCCTTTTTTACGTGAAGAGGGAATACTCTGTAAGGTCTGTGACTTCACAGGACCGCCTTCTCTTATTCATAAGAATACACAAAGGCACAGACATTTATTGTCTGTATGAACAGAGAAAGGAATTATCTGATGGTTAGGAGCCAGGTTCTGCATGGCTTTTCTTTCTTGGGAATCTTAACTTGAGGTTCAGAAGAGTGCCAGGAGTGCATACCCATATACTTAAGCATCTACAGTGCTCGGAAGACAAATGGAGGGTGTCAGAGGCAGGTTCTGTGGAACTACAGTTCATCGCGGTGAAAGAACACCTAAATGGCAGAACTTGTGTTCTCTCCGGTCAGAGAGAAGCAAAAGCACATTGAGCGGACTCTTGTCATCTGGCAAGACTAAACCCCGAAGAAACCTATGACAGCTCCTAAGGCCAAGTTCAGCAACCCACAACTCTGTAGAGACGCCTGGTGTTCATTTCAATGCACAGAACACCACGGATACATTTCCCCCTGAAATCAACAAAGAAGCCACCAGTCAGATAAACCTGTTTGCACAACAGCATCTTGTATGTTTCGTATCAGGAAGGAAACATTGGCCATATCGCATTTCTTGGAGAAGACTCTTGTCATCTGGCAAGCCTAAACCCCGAAGAAACCTATGACAGGTCCTAAGGCCAAGTTCCGCAACCCACAACTCTGTAGAGACGCCTGGTGTTCATTTCAATGCACAGAACACCACGGATACATTTCCCCCTGAAATCAACAAAGAAGCCACCAGTCAGATAAACCTGTTTGCACAACAGCATCTTGTATGTTTCGTATCAGGAAGGAAACATTGGCCATATCGCATTTCTTGTGCACCATTTTTAATCCTCCACTAGAGAGCATGCTTTAAGCCTTGAGTTCCAGAGGAGCAGTCTTCAACTACAGTGGTGCCTCGCATAACGAGAGTACCGTTTAACGACGAATCCACATAGCGATCTATTTTTTAAGATCGCTAATGCAATCACATTGCAATGTTTTAATGGGCAAAACATCGCACTGCAATGATCGGTAAGCATTTCACTTACCGATCTTCGCACTGCGATGTTTTTTAAACAGCTGATCGGCGTTTCCATAATGGCCGCCGCAACCATTTTCGCACTGTTTCCTCGCTTACCGAGGGCGCGAAAATGGTGGCGCTATGGAGGATCTTCGCTGAACTGTGAGTATGGACCTCATAGGAACGCATTAAACGAGTTTTTCCGTTCCATTTAGCGATGTTTTCACATAGCGACGATTAATCCGGAACGGATTAACGTCACTATGCGGGGCACCACTGCTGTACAAGAAGTCACAGGGTCAAAGAGAAGAGCCTAAACATGTGAGCTCAATTCCCACTCAGCTATGAAGCTCACTGGATGATCTCAAGCACAGAACTCTCTCTGAATCTGGCTCACGGCAGTCTTTTCCACTGGTCTTTCAGATGACATAACCACACACATTTGTACATATTTATTTCTGAGAGAAACAGAATCAAGTGTGCTGCTTTTCAGAAGTGCTGTTATACCTATGAACACCGGTAACACTCTCTTCTACGATCCCCTTGATCTTCTTGAACATGTTGGGGTACTTCTTGTAGATCCAGTGTGTGAGATCTCCGCCATCATCCAGGATCTGCAACAAAACCATAAAGCCATTACAACCACACTGCCCACGGGAGTTATTCCACCAGTGCTGGAGACCAGGAAGAAATCAAACTCAATGGCAAGAGTCTACGGAATGCGACGCTGCTGCCCTGCATACAAAATGTTGGGAAGAACAGGAAAGTGTGTTCTTGGAGGATAGCTTTGCTATCTGACTGAGGCCTAAGGTCCAACAAATAAGTGCAAAAGAAATAATCATGTTCTAAAATTGAAATCATGATTTAAATCAATTAGATTTTTAAAAAATCGTTGATTTTTATCGGAGGCCAAACCCTTAAACGAATGTGCCCCTGAATGGTTGAATCACAGAATAACCAAGTGAAGATGGCATTCAAGATCTGTCAAGGGATGCAGAACAGCTGCCACAATGTATAAAGGACAAGAGATCTCTTTAGCAGGGATTGCTGCCATGCAAGACTGAAACATCATATTTAGCACCCAAAAGATACACATTAAAAATGAGGAAAATAATTGAAAGGATCTTGAAAACCAAAGTCAAGAGTCAAATATCTCATGTGGGAACATCAAAAATTAGGTAAGACATTAGATTAGGCATCCTTCAGTCTGGAGAGACTATGGTAACGTTCTCTGTATGGAGGTCTTGGAACAGCATCTCCTGTGGCTGAAGAGGCCAATTCAAGAGTGACCATCCCTTCCACACTGAAGACCAATGCAGTCTGTCCACCATCCAGCTCCCTGATTGTGCTGGTTTCGGGACTGCCTCTTGGCCTCGGCCTGCTGGACAAGGGTCTCTTATTCAAAATGGGAGAGGCCATGATGCACCGCCTGCCTCCAGGCTGAACGCTCAGATGTCAGGGTTTCCCATCTGTGGAGGTCCATTCCTAAGGCCTTCAGGTCCCGCTTGCAGATATCCTTGTATCACAGCTGTGGTCTCCCTACATTCTCCATACAGGAGATCTTTTGGAATCCGACCGTCAGCCATTCTCACAACATGCCCAAGCCAACGTAGACGGTGCTGTTTCAAAGCCACCGCTGCAGTGAGCCATAGAAGTCAAGGAAGCCCCGCAGCAGAAGAGCGCTGAGGTCTGTAGAGAAAACTACGTATTCACCAGTCACATGGGTTGATTTATGTGCAAGGCTGAGGTGTCGTCTGCTGCTCTCTGCAAACCAGCTTTGCACAGCTAGAGATAAAAGTGGGGGAAGCAGGTAAACCCCTCCCTGGCAGACTAGCTTCTGTGGGTTCATCACAAAGGTCTACAAAAGCAGTTTGGGTTCCCCTCCCAGTCCCCTTAAGCATGGCCGGTGCTGCTGCTGCGGTGTGAGATCTTTGCCCTGCACGCAAGAAAGCCTGCAGGACTTTGTTGCGTGGGGTAAAGCTGACGGCCAGGCCCTTCTTCCTTGCCCTGATTACAGACGTACATGGAATCGGGATTCTATGATATCTGTGGGACAGGAAGACTTCTATGGGAGTAGAGTTGCGTTATCCTGCATGGGCATTTGCGTAGACCACATAGGACTGCGACACACTCTTGTGTAGGACCCTGTGAGACAAGAGCAACCCCCACCCACTCTTGCCTGGCACATATTCAGGCAGGGTGCGGCCCCTTCACGGCCCTGTTCCTGCCTGGGATGTACGGCAGGGAGGGTCACGCCAACGTTAACATTTTGTCCCTCCGTGCAGCGTGGCAAACGTCTTCCTTTGCCTTGTGAATAGGACTGCGACACACTCTTGTGTAGGACCCTGTGAGACAAGAGCAACCCCCACCCACTCTTGCCTGGCACATATTCAGGCAGGGTGCGGCCCCTTCACGGCCCTGTTCCTGCCTGGGATGTACGGCAGGGAGGGTCACGCCAACGTTAACATTTTGTCCCTCCGTGCAGCGTGGCAAACGTCTTCCTTTGCCTTGTGAACTTTGTGTTCTCACGCCAACATTAACATTTTGTCCCTCTGTGCTGTGTGGCAAACGTCTTCCTTTGCCTTGTGAACTTTGTGTTCTCCAGATGGGTCGGACCGCAAGGCACATAAGCCCCCCGTCCACCACAGTGAGCTGAAGCAGGATGGGTGCTGTAGCCCAATGCAGATGGTCGGCTGAAGAAGGCCGATGCCCGTCCTTTACAAATTCTCTGCCAGGTGGGGATCAGGTGGGCACAGAGGCTCCTTCGGCCCGTGAAAGCCACCTGAGGGCCACAGAGAGGCCGGGCTGTCGCTGCCTTGAAATAGGCATTTACTCTGCACCCCAGGGAAGGGAAATTCATTCCCTCGCCTGTCTGGTGATGGTTGCATCGTTACAAATCAGAAAGAGAACTGAACAGCCATTCCACCTGGGAGAGGAGAAAGAGCTGGATGGGCTATGGAGCTGGAAGACCTTCAAGCTACAAACAGCTGGATGCATCTGGGGATTAAGGGCTATGGAGCTGGAAGACCTTCAAGCTACAACACCCATCATGCTTCAGCTAGCTGTGGCGGCTGGGAGGATTTTGTGCCTTTTGGTCCAACCTGGGATGGAGACAATACAGGCAGACACCAGAAGGCTTTGGGAACCATCTCTTCCAGGGGGTTGGATATATTTGGGAGACACAGGCGGGTTTTATGAAGATTTCAAGCAGCCAGGCGTTTTACTGTCTGTTCACCTGAGACACCATTACCCGCCTGAGCTGGGAGCTTCTGCGATTTTTGTTCAGCGTTTAGGATGCCAGCAAACCTCAGCTCTGAGCTCCCTGTGGCAAACGGCTCCCTCTCGTGGCACTGCTTTGTATGCTTCCACCAGACTCTACCCTCTGCATAAGCGGACAACCGCGACAGCATTACAGAAAACCAATCCCTTCCCTCTTCTGCGCAACTACCCTTCAAATAATGGAAGACGGCCACCCTAGGCCCTCTCCGTTCTCTCCTCTCCAGGCTAAATGGATCCAGCTTTTCACCGCAGGAGTTGGCCAGGGAACGGGGTGGTTAAAGACTGTTCAGGGGAGAGCACCGATCGGTTCTCTCTCTTCCTCCACGTCTGGTCGTGTCTGCACAGAACTGCCTTCCCAGGAAAGGTTAACAAATATTTGAAGCAGGTCACCCTAAAGCAGGATGACACAGGAGTAAAGGGAGGGAGGAATCGCAGCTTTAGGTTCTCATCCCTTTGCACAAATCACATCAGCTTCACAGGCAGTGAGTGGATTAATGGCCTGCAGAAAACTTTGCAATGCAAAGTTCATTTCTCCGTCCCTCTCCATCAAGGCTTGAGTTCATTAATCTCCATTTAATTAAGATGGTTGCATAAGCCTCTCTCTCTCCCCCCCCCTTCCCCCTTTTCAATGCACAAAAAGAGTGGGCACAGCACATTTTTGGCTGGCTTCTCTTGTTCCCTTCCGAGAAAGAACAAGGGCTGCTGCCAAAGTAAGCCGAGCTCCTCGAGAGGAAGGGATGCCGTTTTTCCCAGCTTGAAGCGCCCACTGGGCCCCACTCGGGGGGGGGGGAGGCTCTTTCCTCGTAATTCCAACTCACCCTGTCAGAAGACAGCAGGACCAACACAAGGACAGTAGTATAGCTTTCATAAAAGGTAAATGTTC